AGACGGCACTCGCGTACTACTGCTACTACGTATTTTTTGCGTTAACGTAATCGATTTACGTCGCTGCGTCTGCTCCACACGGACGGAGGGGCCATAGAGCTACAGATCGAGGACCAAGTCACGCAGCCGTTTAAAACAAGGACAGGTGTGGCGCAGGACTGAAACAGCCACCAGGTACGGAGGGGTTGCAGCCCACAAGGCGGGTTGGGCAGGCCAGTCCGTAGGTGCAGATGGAGGGGGCTGGGTTCACGGGTCCCATTGTCACGACATGACACAGACAATGGGACAACGGGTGAATAGCAATAAACAGACTAAAGTTGTAATGCAGACAATTAAAGTAGGAAGGAGGAGCTGAACTCACAAAAGAAGCTGTTCGCATCTTTGACTAATGTTAGCTGAGGCTAGCCTGGTCTCACCACACCATCATACACATTTAATTTCATACTAAGGAACATGTTAATTGTCTAGAATCTAAGCTGGAGCAGTTCAGTAGAATTTATTTATGGACATATGCATTTGCCCCATTTTGAGTTTTTTGTAAGAGATAAAAGCAAGGAATCATTGAAACCAAATATCTCTCTTTTAGAATGTTCTACTTAAAAGTCCAAATAATATTCTTAAGTTAAATCTCAAGCCACATACACTTTCCTCTTTCAGTTTGGCATCTGGCACAGGAGAGTGTGACAAGTTAAAACATGACATACAGGCTTATATCTCCTCAATGACATGTTCAATGATTTCACTTAAAGACCTTATGCAGGGTTTGTATCAATTTAGTCATTTGTAGGTTTCACTCCATTTGTCGTTTTCATGCGCCACGTTTCCCTCTAAATATGGATTAAAGCTTTTAACATTTGGCTGTTGGCAAAAAAAAAAGTAGTATTTTGGCTAATTGGTTCATAATTGTACATTCTGGGATTCTGTGTATGTTGACATTGAACAACCTGCTGATCCTGTTGGTCTTCTGTTGAACTGGGAGGGCCTGGCTGCATTGATTCACTCTTGCTTCAAGATTAGGTTAAGGTTAGCCTGGCCTTAGCCATCCGTACACTCCGTTCAATCTTCATTTCACTGCATGTAACGTCTGGGTCTAGTCCCTATGTTTACAATCGATTACAATCTGTTGAATTTCGACCGACCATTCAGAGAGTGCGGAAGGCAGGTGTTGTAGTTAGTTGTGGGTGATGTCAAGAGTTTGCGTCGAACAGGCAGGTTGTAATTGCGATAGTAAAGTAATCCGGTCTGGTTCTATCAAGAAATTGAAGCTGGAGCAAGGGTAATGTTTAGCAAATGTAATCGCTGGAAAAAATTGTGGCGCTACTCCCTATGGGCTCAGTTAGCGGCAAAGGAGAGGGCTAGGCTAAATACGTCACGGTAAACTCAGATCCTATTGTTTCAATCTACAAAAGGAGTTAACCCTCCCACCTGTAAACGGAGCTCAATGGAGCACCTCCAGACCTTAGTACGAAATGTCATTTGTACTATGGTGTGGTACGACCAGGCTAGGTTAAGGTGGTTGCAAACATTGCTTTGACATCCTCATGTTAAGCTGAATCCTGGCAACACAAATAGACTATGGACTGTGGTATGTGGTAATTGCACTGTTGCATCAAGAGATGTCAACATAAAATGGGGGTCAAATATTACTCTGCTTTCAGCTATGATTTATGTGGAAGTGGACCTAGGGCAACTGTTACAAAGGACTTGCTGTACACAAATTGTCAATGTTTCTTTTGAAGACTATTTTCAGACTGTTTTTGTTTATGTAATACTTTCTTGTCAATTGAAATTAAAAAAATTAGGTTGTATTTAAACGTTTATCAACCTTGCTTGAGACTGTTCTTGATCAATTTAAAGGGGCACCTTTTATTATCATGTGAAAAATGCAGGCCCCAGTTCCCGGTACTTTCACTACAATGATTTAAAATGAAGATGCTCAAGGTGGATATGTTTTTCCATTGAGACAAAGGCCCCTTTCCAATTCTGAGGGCCCTCCAGGTGTAAGTGCCCTCACCAGAAAAGTGCCTTCCCATAGGGGAGTGCACTCATAGGATATTCTCCTTAAGAAATGTGACACCCCTGGATCTAGGGGACAATATGCAAATGACGCAGCAAACGTGTTCCATGTCGCACACATTATCAATGTGTCTGATTTCACCATATATAAGATCTGACACAGATATGACTTTAATAAGAAACACAGTATAGAAATAACAGTAAAGAAATAAAATGTATTATTATTATTAGTATTTATTAAATGAGAAGTTTTTAATTCTATTTCATATGAAGATTTGCTATCATTGTGTACAGAACTGCTGCACATCATGCATTCATAGACACACGCACACAGACGCAAGTACATAATATATGCGCACAGAGACGTACCGCAGACACACGCGCGTGCCACACAGACACACATGTACATACACGTACCGAGACAGACACATGTACATAATCGTTTTTAAGCTATCTAAGGTCAAAGGTGAGAATTGGGACGGGGCCAAAGTGACATAAATATTTCAAAATTTCATCCGTTTCATTGGGCTTTTGATAATGTGTCACTTTTAAAGGTTGTGGTCTAAACTCAAACCCAGAGGTGTGCGGACCCTGGACTGTGGCTCAGATGCAGCCCTCTGATATTTCCATCAGGCTTCTGAGCCCTTCTTAGTTCAAGATAGGCCTTGTTTAGACGGAGATGCTGCAACAGTAAAACGGTAGAGTTGGGTGTCGATATGGCCTCTGAAAACGCAAGTGCTGAGAAGCAGTCTCCATAGTGGAACAGAATAGATACCCTGCGGGGTCTGTTTCAAAGCCGCGTGAAGAAAAACTTGTGAATTCTCTGCCTGCTATGACCTCAACGCTTCCCTGCACGTATATTTGGACATGCACAGCCGAGAACAAACGTAAACAATCGCGGTGGGTTCACTAATCGTACATGTGCTTTGTCCATCTAAACACAACCATTCTTCGCTCTAGTTTGTTTCCTTTTTTGCTGCCACTGTTAAATGCAGAAGAATTGGTGTATTATTTCACGTCTTTGCAGTGGCCTCAGAAGGATTTTGTTGATTAAGTGGTTCTACCACTCACGTGGTGTACTGGGCGGGCTACATTGTTTTCCTCTGGTGTAGACGCTGCGTGCCGAGCTCTGGGGCCACAGTTGCGCTCAAGCCAAGATCAAGCCTGAAAAAAAAAATTGGGCAAATGCCTTCCCTAACCCTTTCAACTTGTTTTCAATAAATTGTTTGCTCAGTTAAACTGTAGAAGCCTAGGATTAAACAAGGTATATTCTGGTATATACAACTGGTCTTACTATGTTGTTTTATTTACTTGATTAATCCTGATTAGAGTCAATCATCAAACTTTACACTCCTCAAAATGTCCGATACGGCATATAAACAGCTATAATATATCAATAACATACAAACCAAATTAAGTGTGGTACATGGTTTTGAATTAAATGCTCAGTAAGTAGAGTCGCTGCTTTTTCACATTGAGGCCCTGTTTACACTGAGACGCTGCGCAGACGTTTCCAGGCTATTAACAGAAACGACCTGGCTCCTAATGCAAATTTCTCAGCGTTCACATGAGGTTGAAAAACGATGTAGTTCTAGCGCCCGGCCAGTAGTGGGCAGAGAAACTTTACAACACGACACACGACCCCGAGCCCCGTGCCCAGCCCCCCTCTCGGCAGTATACTCACTTCCTGTGCCAGACCCTCAGAGAGTACCAACATCATTCTGCATTTTAACAGCAGCTGTGAAAATGGGAACTGAACCTAGAGCTTCGCGTGGTCTCGTTTGAACGAACGAAGGAGTAGAGTTATCCTCTGTCCCGCGCTGGAAGTCCACGTAGCTAGTTTGTGTGGGCGGCGCCATTATTGTTGATGATTGTTCTCCGCTACTGCGCATGTCCAAATTTACGTGCGGGGAGCAGCGCGGAGGCGGGGGTCAGAGCAGAGGGGGATTTCACACCTATTCCCTTCTCGCGGGTGTGAAAAAGCTCCCTGCTGTGCAGCGTATCTGAGTTGTCCCACTCTGCAGGCTGGATCTGAACACTTACGTTTTCACCCCCCTGGAACACTGTCTTCGTATGAACGGTTGGTAGCAACCGACATCCAACTATACCGTTTTACTGCCACATTGTCTCCGTGTAAACTCAGCCTGAGCATCTGTTTTGGGTGCCACCTGGACGTCTCCCTGGGGAGCTGTTCTGGCGTGTCCTACCGGGAGGAGACCTGACCCAGGACCAAGCCCCGGTGATCCAAGATAGTGTCCTGTTCAAATCAATGGCTTGTGCTCAGTGGTGCATTTGCCACTATGGGGACCGAAAGATTAGCAGAACGTGCCCATATTTGGCTATCATCTGGTCCTCCTGGTTCTGCGCAGTGTACGAGCTCCCATGATGCGTGGGTGTGTGGCTATCATACGTGCACAGAGGGGCTCGGCCGCGCTTTGATCAATCAGAGCAGAACTATAGTGGGAGTTAGAGCGGGAGCCAAACAAGCAGAGATTGTGGCAGTAAAGTGTGGATTTAAAGAAAATCCTACCTTTATGAAAGCTGTAGGTTCTGTCAGCTGAGGTCGAGCTGTTTTAGTTTACATTGAGTTCTATGGGGAAATTTCTGTCGATCGCGTGTGTGTCAAAATTGAGTTCTTTTTGACCATATTTTAGATGATCTAAATGCGCTTCTTTTTTTCCTGATGTTGACTATTTATTTTGAGTCATAAACTGGTTCTTTTCCAACAAAATAGATAAGTATTTTCCTAAGGGGTTTGGCCAGTTATTGCTTTTGTTTTGTACATTGTATTTCACTTAGTTTCTAATTCACTTTTGTGATGTTTGCAGATCAAGCCCCACAATCCCTGGACAGCTGCTTCTGTTCAGTCATCGACAAGTTTGTGGAGCATAGTGGAGGATATAGTTCCCTTAAGATCTCCCCCATTTGAGTGAGAGGCGGGGGGAGGGAGGAGGAGGAGGTGTGCTGCTGAGTCCACCCGGAGCATGGGGCAGAAAGTCCCTGGTGGCATCAAAACCATTGACATGCGGGACCCGGCTTTCAGCCCTCTGAAGCTGGAGCTGCAGGCGTTGAACCACACCAAACCTGCGCGGCTGGACCTGTTGCTGGACATGCCCCCTGCCGGCCCTGACCTCCAGATGCAGCACTCCTGGAACAATGACGATCGCTCCAGAAACATCTTTGTGAAGGATGACAACAAGCTGGTTTTTCACAGGCATCCTGTGGCCCAGAGCACAGACGCCATCAGGGGCCGTGTGGGCTACACCAGAGGACTGCATGTTTGGGAGATCAGCTGGGCCATGAGACAGAGGGGTACGCATGCTGTGGTGGGTGTGGCCACCAGTGAAGCCCCTCTGCACTCTATGGGCTATACGGCTTTAGTCGGGAGCAATACAGAGTCCTGGGGATGGGACCTATGCCGCAGTAAACTTTATCATGACGGCAAGAACCATCCAGGTAAAACGTACCCAAGTTTTCTAGAGCCCGACGAGACTTTCATTGTTCCTGACTCTCTTCTTGTGGTGCTGGACATGGACGAGGGCACCCTGGGTTACATCGTGGATGGACACTACTTGGGTGTGGCCTTCAGAGGACTTAAGGGCCGCAAGCTCTATCCCGTAGTCAGCGCTGTATGGGGCCACTGTGAAATACGCATCCGGTACATCAACGGACTTGACCGTAAGTGGTACTCTCCAGTACATTGTTACCCAATGATTTGAGCATGCTTTTATTTTATTATATTGGTGTGTTCACAGTAAAGCGCCAGTTAAAGTATCTGGACTTTAAAAGGTTATAACTCAAACTAAATGTTCTCATCATAGCTTGGGTTTCAAACACAGGCATATTAAAAACATGGTATACATAAAATCAGAAGGAAAGATTGACAAATACATTTTTGTCGAAACATCAAAGTGATTGGAGTTTGTCAGAAAAAAGAAAGGTACGGGATTTGAAAAAAACGACCCAAGCTCCCTCCCCCTTCCTTTCTGATTGGTCTATGCCTATGTTTTGCCGTAACACATTTAAATGTTAATCTGAGAACACATTATACTTATACATTATTAATACACATGCACGAAGGTTTTCAGAATTATTGGTTAACGTTTTCATGACAAAAATGTTTAAATGCACAAAAAAGCGATCGCGGTAAACCCGGAAGTAGCTATTAACGTTGATTGAACATTATAGGACACATCTGCGGAGGATCTGATTATGGATATAGGCTCAGTATATAAATGGGTAACGCAGCGCAGATGTTCAGAATTCTGTTTTCATTAAGTTCTAGAGCCTATAAAGGCTTGATTCGGAGGCTCTGCGAAAACAAACTGAACATGCGCTCAGCTACGAGCATCAGCGCTGATGATTGACAGCCCTTGGCATCACTTGATCGGTTAACGTGGACGGCATCGTGGATTTCTAGCTATAGCTAAGAGAAGGGAAGGCGGGACTTGCCCGTAATATTAGAATTCATAAAATTATTATTATTATTTCATATCAATATTTAAGGCCAGGAGGTCAATTTAATACAGTTCTTAAAATGTGTAATTCATTTAGAGTTACAGACTATCACTTTAAACAAAAGATAATACAAATTTAAATGACCTTTGAAAAATATGTAACAGACGTGGTGGTTTCCGTCAATTTTGTTCTAAAGATTAAACTTGATTATTGAAATCTAATTTCTAATTTTTGGCCTTTTTTTACACTTTTGTACCCTTTAGTGTGAACAATGTATTGTTATTAGCTTAATAATAATATCACTCACATGTGTGCTCACACATACACACCATTTTCATTTACTTGTATAGTCTTCTGCCCTTTCTCGTGCGCTCCGGCAGTGTGTTTGGGATCATTGTCATGCTGAAAGACCCAGAGCACGTTTTATATTTAATGCCCTTGCTGATGGAAGGAGGTTTTACAATGTATTCTTGTATAGGCCTAAATCACAACAGAAGTCATCTCAGAGGACTTAACAAAACCATTGAAATCACCAACACAGATCAGAATATCAGCAGTTTAAACACATAAAGAATATAGAACACATGTTAAAAAATGTCCATACATGTTGTAGAATGTTAGTGTCCTGGATCTTCACCACAGTCCTTCTAGTTGGACAGTAACTGCCCAACAGACCCTCCTGCATCGGCATGGACAAACTCATATAAAAAACCTGTGAGATTTTCATTCAAAATCTCACGATACATGGACCCATTCATCCCTGTGCAGAAGAATAGCGCAAAAAAAAGTGTCCACCATCATGCTTCACATTAGGTATGGTGTTCTTTTGGATGCAACTTTCCTCCCAACACGACGAGTTGAGTTTTTACCAAAAATTTATTTATTTATTTATTTATTTAAGTAGGGACAGTACATATTAATGAACATATGTAAATATGTCAGATTTTAGCCATAGGCTAATTTCCATCTGTTGTCCCTAGACAGGCTGATGTGAAACTTCACATTGAACATTTAACAATGACACGAAAGAAAGTCACAAGACAGTACAGGAACAGAACGACTGCAGGACAAGGAACAATGGGACCACAAGATACACATTCAAATATACTGTACAAAGAACATTAGGGATCTCAGGCAAATACAATGACAAAAGACTGGACACGACAGAGGACAGGGAGGACAGGGAAGGGTGAGGCAGAAAATGGGAGCGAAGGCGGTTCACTTCCACAAACCCAGGGGAAGACTTAATTCATGAATTTCTACGGATTTATAAAAATCTAAAATTTCATTACGTTTTTTTTTTTTTCTCTTTAAAATACCTATCTAAAATGCTGTGGTGCCCTAAGGTACGTTTTACATAAAATGTTATTGGTTATGTTGACAGGTTTGTGTTGATCTGAGCCATTCCTTTAAGTGATTTTTAAATGATTTGAAGCTGATTGCCTCCCTCACAGTGGTTGGTAGTTTGTTCCACTGGACACTGCCTTTATAGGACAGGACATTTTGACCAAAAGAGGTTTTCCTCACAGGAACCTCACAGTCGCCTCTGCTCATGGACCGAGTTGTTCTCGAGGCACTTGTTCTGTATTTAAAGAAAAAATGTATTTAAAAAAGATCTATTTTGGTTTAATCTGACCATATGATATTCTCCCAATCCTCTTCTGGATCATCCAAATGCTCTCTAGCAAACTTCAGACAGGCCTGGACATGTACTCACGCAAGACCTGTACTCCAAAGATAATTTTTTGCACATCACTTTTTCGGTGAGGTACCAGGAGATGGTGTTTGGTACTCACCTCATTTGTTTGCGTGGTTCTAAAATTTTATACTTCAGTTTAGATCGGCTCACATAGTCCAAAAAGTAAAATAATGACCCCTAGGGCTCACAGTATGCCTGCCTTTTTTTGTTCTGTTTTTGTTCACAACTTTTGACTTTTGGGCACAACCACCACCATTGTTAATGCGAGGGAAAATGTAGGAACCCCAGCTTTTAACACGTTTTAATTGCGCTTCGGTGAGACACTGGAGAAGACATCGACACTTCTGGAGGCTAAAGGCACTTAAGTGATGGTACGCATTTGTGATTTTTGTCGTACATGCGTAGCTGCCAGTGGGGGAGGTTCCCAGCTCAAAAGTGGCCAAAATGACGGGCGCTGACATGCTTGCAATACCCCCCCGGGCCGATGGGGGTGGACCCAGAAGTAGAATTAGCCAATGCTAACATATAGCATTGGCAGACCTCTCAAAAACGTCTTTACAGGATGGACCAAAAGTTGGCTCTTGGCCTTGTGTGTCAATGCTGAGGGGGGTGGATTTTTTTGGTCCACTCTAGTTTACTTGCTGTGAATTTTTGAAGTCTCTCGTTCAAATGAATGGAGTTGCGCCAGCTGACTCATGCGCAGATGCGTTTTTTCACAATTTTCTTGGCGGGACCGCTCCAGTAGAGCACATTTTTTGGCCCATTAGTTAGAATGGGCCAAAAAATTTGCACCCCTACATATAATTTTACCCATAGCTGTATATTGTGAGGAACCGGAGAGTAGAATGTACATGTTCTCATTACAGGTTAGAATACACCGTATGGTGGCCTTTTATATTAGCAAGACAAGACATCAACAGTGGTCATTGTCAGGGCATTACTTGGGCTTGTTAAATTAAAGCTTTTTCCTTTATAGCAGCACAAAACATGCATGTACTTCCAAAAGTGTACATCCCAACACGATGTCAAATTGGTAGTAGCCACATTAATAAGAATGCTACAAATTCTTTCAATGACTGGTGCTTATCAAAAAGCTCTCTGCTACCAGCAAACCCCAAATCCTCTGTGCTCATTACAATTTTATATCCTGATGGAGCCTTGACCTAGATTTCTGTACTAAAGAAACTACCATTATTCACTGGCAGAGCAAATCCCGAAAGTCACAGTGGGCCTGAATGTTAACTTTATTACATCAGATACAAAAATCTGTGAATTTAATTTTGAGTAAGATGAAAATAGTATTGGGAATGCAAAACAAATCGTTAAAGGCACAATTTTGTCTTCATTATCCACACTGTTGTTACTCTTATATTTCCCATGGTCCATGAGTGTCTACAAAGCCTTGAGATTGCCTGATGTGACCCATAGAAGCAACTTGTATTGGAATGTTCACATTAAAATCCTGAATACAGGTCCTATGGTTCACACAATCCCGTATTATCTTTCGTGATAATTTCTTTGTTGACTAATAATTTATGGGATGCTATTGTCTGTTAGAATGGACAATGTTTTTTTCTTTACAATGTGTTGCTATTTTACTATAAAGGGTTTTCAATCAACTGCTTTTATTTATTGCAACCTGTGCATAACATTTAAACCCAATTATACTCACAGTACCGATAACTCCTGGTGTTAGTTTCAAATGCTATTGGGTCAAATATACTTTATAGTATTGTACCCACCTGCATGCCAAAAGCTACAATCAAAGATGGACTTTTTTTTTTTTACATTTTAAGAATTTGTGGGAAAAGCCAGGGCTAAAAGTACCTTTGCACCGTTATAGTATCTAGGCCTTCACATCCCCATTTTTATATCTGAATTATTAGATCATGTAAAGAAAAGCAATCTGATGAGTTTCAAATGCTTCATGCATTTGAAACATTTTATATTTGTGTTTTGAATGTGACTCATTCTGTTTACTGTTCTGACCTGTGTCCTCTCCTCCAGCGGAGCCCCTGTCCCTGATGGACCTATCCCGCCGCTCTGTGAGAGTGGCTTTAGGAAAAGAACGCCTCCCAGAGATCCACAGACTGCCGTTACCGGCTGCCCTCAAGAACTACCTGCTCTACCAATGACGGCGCCCCCTGTTGTCCTGTGTCTCGGGACATCATCTACACCACAGCTGCAGCTCTTGAGTCATGGGTGATTCAGACACACATGCTCTTTTGTCATTTCTTAAACTTGTTTTTATGAGTTTACTGTCTTAAAACTTTCTTCAAATCAGGAAACGCTGAACTCTATGCACAGACCAAGATGAGTTTTGGTGAAATCATTTTGAGTTTGCACGTTGATGTGGCGTATGTGATTGGTATCTCTGCTGTGATTATGTCTAATATAGCCTTTTTAAATTTACATGTCATGGGTTGTAATGTTATAATAATGATTTAGAATAAATTTGCGTAAATTGTATTTTGTTTTAGGACAATGAGAAGTGCACTGCCAGTATCTGACCACACTGTGGCAGCATATTCCCATTTTCCACTTCAAATTGAGGCGCAAAAGTAGTGAAGGACTAAATATTTCACTCTTATAGGGTCTGTAGAGTCTTGTTGGCAGAATACAAAGATGGCACCTAAACTCAAAGCACGGTCAGATGATGAGATTAAAGCAAAGGAGCTCCAGCTTTTATGGGAACGCTGTCATTCACTGTGATTATTGTAGCATGCACCTGCAAGAAATCACACAATACACTAAAGTCTCTTTTTTTGTTCTTCACTCCTGCTTTTAGTTGTACTGTAGTCCAAACTCTACTTTAGAAGAGTGGAGAGGGGCCCATCTAATTCATAAATGGTAATATAATGATTTTATCTTGTCAAAAGCTTTTAAAAATGCTGTTTTTGCCCGAAGTATCAACATTCTTGCTGATTTTTTTTCTGTCCATCAAATGTTGGTCATTTCGGGGGGGTAATTTCTCAGCTTCGTGGATTGTGAGAAGTTCCATTGTGGTTGTGTATTGATTTAAATGTAATAATTTGTTTTTTTCCCCATATTCTCTGATTTTGAGGAAAAGTCTGCTGTATGGCACAAATACACTGTCCAGTAGTATGCAATAGAATCTAATTTTTTCAATATTAAATATTGAGTTCTGGGTCTGTGTCTTATAGCAGATTTTGACAACCTTTTTTGAAGTTATTTCTTATGTAACATGGGATTGGTTCAAATGTATGAAGGTGTGGTGCTTTGGGGGACGGTAAGTCAGTGAGCCTCCAATTCAAGATGACAATCCAAAAACATGTGCACAAATAAAATGAACAAGGTCCTATTGCCAAGATATCCTGACGTGTGTTATCTCATGCCTGTCTAAAAATATATGCACATTCATAGTCCTGATTCTGCACTGAAATCAGACTTTATGTACAACACTATCTCCTTGCTTGCAATTTCCATTTTATTTGTAGAATTGTTTTAAATCTCTATTAAAGTATATTTGAAATTATTATGTCTATTATTTTTCTAAGGGATAGGCATGATTCCAACAAATGATTTACTTCATAATTCGAAAATGATTTACTTCATGACCTTTCTGATTGTGTTTATAGGTTGAGTCATGTGAAATCGGTCATCCTTTAAGGGATTTAAGTTTATTTGCGCAGAAATGTGTGATTTTTACTTTTCTGTTTACTGTTTCATGTGAAATTATTATATTTGGGATGTAAATGACTTATCAATTTATAGTGTGTGCGGTATGCAAGATATTGGTGGGAAATCTTCTCCATGGAGTTACATGAGGAATAAAACCAGGAGCAATCCCCACCATCACCCTGGGTAACTTTTAATTAGTGTTGGGAATCAGCCAAAGCACTGGCCCCACTTTGAGTCTCCCAAGTTTGCTGAGGCTTCCTTTTTCAACCTTGAGACTGATTTGACCCAGTCACTTCTACATATTTACAGAATGGGTCACTTGTTTGTGCCCCCTTAAAAAACAAGTTGCTCCTAATAAATATTCCTAGATTGACATAGTATAAAATCAACAGTAAACTCTTTAGTACTTTCAATATTTGTCGACCATTTTAAACATTTTTGGGTCCTATAATTGTGGTTCTCTAAGTTGTATTTTAGTGAAAACTACAAAAAGCGAAGAAAAGTTGGTTGCAGAAACCTCAAGTAGGGTATTTATTGGATGTATCATTTCAAAAGTAAAAAAAAAAAAAATCCAAATCTAGGCAGGCCTAGAGCGCCACAAATGTTACAATTGTATGGCAAAAAATATATACTTTTATGTCTGAAAGTGTTAACATTTGTCAGAAAAATAAAATAAAAATTGTCGGTGTGTCAAGCGGAAACATTCTCAAAGACTTGTGGATCTGGTTTATCTGCTACTGTTTTGCTGATACTTTTGCTGATCCATGACACAAGAACTATTAACACGGTGGGAGGGCACATGCCTTTTAGTTTTACAAGGTCACAGCAGAAAAACAACCTGGAGGATATTATTTCGGTCCAGTTCCTATACAGTACAGTGTGCTGTGTTTTGAACTAGTTTATTACAACACTTACACTCGCTATCACAGAAGAAGATAAAGACATGTTTTCATATGCGTCAAACATGCCATTCACAAGCAATAAAGACTTGGGTAATATGCTCATTGGGACAAACAAGTGTTACCATTATATCTGCAGCTTGATATATTGAACATGTATTTTATGTGTTATCGCTTTTGGATGTTTACTGTAGAACATAACAAAATGGGCAAATAAACTAAAAGTAGGCTTTTAGTGGTTGATTAGTTGGCTAAATTAACAAAAAGGGTTGAATTAACCATGATATGTTTATTCAATATTGCAATATTAAAATCCATAAAAAACAAACACATTTGTTGTATGATCACTCAATCAATAACTCCATCTATTTTACACCAATTCAGCAATTGCATTTTACTTTCAGATGAAACTTGCTATAAAGTACAAACCCAATACCATGTTTTTATATTGATTTCAGTAACCTCTGGCACTTGTTTGTTGTCGGAGTGTTACTTTTAATTTTGACGTTTAGGGTTATACGTTACACAATCTTAACAATGAGTCATGACAACCTTTCATGGTTCAAGGTGATTTCGTGTTATGGTTGTTATTAAGACCCATCTTAGGAAAGCCCCCAAATGGAGCGACCAAAGGGCAGGAAGAACTACACTGTAAAGCACTTTGTGTTACACTTTTTGTATGAAAAGCGCTTTATAAATAAAATTTGAAAGTGTGTTTAGAATTGTATGTAAAAACCATTGACAAAAACGCAACAACAGATTTGGTCAGGTGAACCATTTAAGATTAAATTTCCTAGATCGGAGTTAAGGATACAGAAACATGATAAAAAGGGATATTTTCAATAAATTTGATCTGGATCGAATTGGAAACCGCGCACATGTCTCGACGTCACCGACAACACCCCCGTACGTCCACTCTTACGTCATCGCTGTTCTTGAGGCTCTTTACTGCTCCTCCCTCTGCTGCTACTCACGTCCTCCCTCTGCTCGCCGACAGCTCCACCACCGCCGAAAGTCTCGTCTGAAGCCGGGAAAACAGCGAACAACTCCGCAGCCAAGTGTTGGACGTGTCGGGAATATAAAAAAGCACATATTCATTCGTTTTTTTCTAGGTGACGGTTAGTTATTTCTCTTAGTAACATGGCTGTGTCAAGCTAAAGACGAACCGCGGCGATCGAAATGGCACAAAAAGACACGCTTTTGCACCTTTTCGCTGGGGGGTAAGTTAACATTTTCCTAATAAATTCTGGTTACCTTTGCTTTAGTAGATTACGCCTATTCATGTAATGTATTTTCACATGACGGCAGCTTAACAAACAGCCCGACAAAGACCTCATGGTAGCATAATTAAAGGTAGCATACAGTTAGCATTTTGTGTTAAACTATCACATTACACTCGTTTAGCGTTTTAACATTATTGTGTAGTTATGTTTTCCCAGATATATTAGCTTTTTTATGTGAGCGTTATTATTACGACTCCTTCCGCTCTCATTTCGGACATCGTGGCAAAGATACAAGGAGAAAAGCCGGTTGGATCGTGTTTCATCAGCCAACATTTATATCCGTCTGTAGCAGCGGATTTTTACGGATCAAATTAGCATTCAGTCAGCTTGTCATATCTATTTTATTATTTAACTGTCTAACTTAATTTTCATTGTGTAGATCGTGTTGTTATGACATTATTTAACCCGGTGTTATGTGTCGCAGTCACGGGAGTCGTTAGCCTTTAGCTGCGTGATGTCCTTCACTGTTGCATAACACTTTGGCTTATGGTTTCACCGCAGATTCGAGATCAGTGAGCCTCATCACTCTAGAAATAATGATAATGTGATATTGTAAGGCAAGCAACCATACCATGTTTCATTTTATCAATAGACTACCTTTGAAATATTTGTCATTTAACTCTGACATGTCTGGCAGTAAATTGAATTAGTGCAATAGGTTTTATTTTTACTTGTTTTTGAATTCATATTTGTTAATTATTTCAAAGGTCTTCATCCTGAACATGTTCAACGGTTGTTTTCATATTGTAATATGTACCTGTTTGTCATGATATATTCCCAGGTGCAGTGGAACCGTGGGAGCCATAGTGACATGTCCTCTGGAGGTACTGAAAACACGGTTGCAGTCTTCGGGGCTCGCCCTGCGGCCTGTGTACCAGGTTCAGCTCAGTGGCACCGGTGCTGGGGTGATCCGTCCCGGAACAGTGACTCCCGGCCTGTTTCAAGTCTTACGGTGAGAGTTTGGAGTTAATTTGAAACTTCCCTTTAGTGTTCTTCCTATAAAAGAGGATTTTGTATGGTAGTTTTTTTTTTTTTTACAAATTAAATCCCTCAAAATGTTTCCTTCCAGATTCTCAATAAAAAGGATGCTAATGTTTTTCAAGGTCAAGTTTGTTTTGAAGTTGTACTGATTGTGCAGTGCATTCAAACCTGTAATTTTCTCTTGCATAATCCTGTATCAGAAGCCATTAATCTTAGATGTGTGCAGTGGATTTGTACATGTAGTCCTGTTTTCCACATCTGTTTTGAGAGTTTGCAGAATTTAACAGGGTTTAAAGCCCCTTTACGTGTTTTATTTTACACCTATTCTTGGACATGTGAGCTCTGCCAGCTGTATTAGTATAAGTACAAATGGTGTCTGGACTAGACATTTCCAAAGTGCAACAAATATGACCACAAACAATAAAACCAAAGCAGTAACTCTGCTAGTAAATGTAAATGAAATTCATATAAATACAAAAAAGAAATACAAATTAAAAACAATCATATTTTCTATTTATTAAAGGTTTTTAAAAGACAAACTTGAAATCATAAAGTTTGCACGTCAGTTTTTTCAAGGACTAATAAATTGTGCTTGAACAGTATGTACTGTGTAATAATACATATCCCTCCTCCTATTCCCATTCTTTACGTGACCAGAAGACGCCGCCTTGAAAGCATGTAAAGACACTGTGTTGAGACTAGGGTTAGTATTACATACATACATAAAACACTCATTTTTTGCTTTGCACCATGTAGTAAACACCTGGGGAATGAATATCAGCAGATGTGGTTTTGCCAGCTCTGGTTTGAATGAAATGCAGGCCTCGTCACGCTAAATGTTCTGTGAAGACTGGACTTATGTAACTAGTCTCTATCATTACTCTGCCAGATTGCTTCCTCAAATAGAGCTAATGGGAACAGGGATAGCCCAGCATGGTTTCAACTTCGTACATGGGGTTACTTAAAGACACCTTTGAGACACTTTTGCTGTTTCTAGGGAACAACATATTCATTGGTTTGCTGAATAGATCAGATGAGTTTTGAAGTGGGTTGGATGTTAGTCATTTTGTTATACCCCATTTGAAAAGCTCAGAATCTATAGAATCAACCTTGCAATTCATGCTTTGATTATGACTCATGAATGTATTAAATATTTTCCGAAAAATGCATTTATTGCCTGGAAAATCCCAATTCCCAATATTTGTATTTAAATAATTACTGTGCTGCTAAGGTGATGTCCAAAGAAAACTGCCAATGACTTAATAAATATACTAAAATGTTACTTTCACAATTTTTCTCCTTTGTAAACTTAAAGCTGCACTAACTGACTTTGGGATTTTGAAGCCGCGGACCCGCTGGCCTCTCTTTCTGCTCCCCTCCCCGCACCCACGAAGCTATCGCCCCCCCACACACACCCACTGTTGGGACGGAGCTAGCGTCTCCCAATATGTATAAATACATGAATATGGATTTGCACGTAAAACGATAGAACCGGAAAGCGCGGAGGAACGAGACTTTCTTTTGAATGGCTGTTTCGCTGAGTAAGCAGTAACCGGTGACAAAGACACGAAGCTTCAGGTTAGCTCCTCGGCTTGTTGTGCTAACTCAGCCGTCTGTGCTAACGGACCTGTAGATTTCTCACGAAAGTGGGGGCCAGTGGTCCGTTGTGATTGGTCACAATCTGCGACCCGAAACACATTCTCTTCCTTGTTTCATCAAAACTCGATCTAAAATATAATGTCACGCCAGCACAAATCTGCGCTACTTTTTCTTCAAAAGGACGTATATCCCAATGCACTACATGGACATGGATAGCATTTTCGTAATGAATACGAAAATAAAGTCAGTTAGTGCAGCTTTAACAAAGTTACAAATTCTTCCCTCAAGCTTCCTTTGAGATAATGATCCTTTTAGTTTATGAAAAACAATTTGTCTTACTGATTCAACACCTATTTATATTCAACTCTTCTGTCTGCTCACGCCTGTAAGAAAACAACCAGCCTTGGTCTGGTTGAATCCAGTTCACCCTTTGTGCCCAGTTTGAAATCTGAACAACAATGAGCAGGTGTTTAACATACAAATGTCTTCATTCATTGGTGTGTTGTGTATTTCAGGTCAATCCTTGAAAAAGAGGGTCCACGATCACTATTCAGAGGTCTGGGACCAAATCTTGTCGGTGTAGCTCCATCAAGGTACATATTCATGCTTCTCAAAAATGTACACTGAATCTAGTGTTATAAATGGCTATATAATTTCATTAAGTTCTGAAGAATTAAGTAAAGCCAATTCTTTATCACCACCAGTGATTATTTTAGACTGTCAATGATTGTATGGAGAAAAAAACACATGTCAGTAATTTCTAACCTCCACATAAACTTCTCAAGTGAACTGAGTCTCAGTAGTATAAAGCACGAAGCACAGATTTTGCTGATCACACAGAGGATGCAAGTGCTGAATTATGAAAAGACAATTGGGGTATTTGAAACAGGCATCCTCTCTCTGGGGACTTTTTATGGTGTGCACAGCTCCTAGGGACTCGGCCACTCTCAAAGCAGAGGGAGGAGGAGGTTGTTTTGTAAATAGGAGAAAGTCATCATAGCAACAGTAGTGAAGGTGGAGAAAATGAGCAACTGTATGTTTTATTGAATATAAAAGATATATAATATAAAAGTAATCCAGTGTAACAAAAGTAGGCACATTTAAAGATGAATATCAAATCTATATTTTAAAATAGATTATAAAATATTTTTTAATAGATAGCCAAATTAAAACTATATGCCTTGGGATCTGTTTGGGAGACACATTAGATTCCCTGTTTTTTATATTGACTAAAAATGTATCACTTTTTTGACTATATTTTTTTGATCTCCTGCATCTACTCTAATGTCCCTAAATCATTGGTTATCTAAATCTAACCAAATATAGGGTTGGTCTGTGGTTAATGGCTGGTATCAGGTTGTAGCCTGCGTCACTCAGACTTGCAAAGCATTGGTCACTGTAGCTCCTACCTCTTGAATTTTAAATGTCCACTGGTTATCTGCTCTCCAAAAGTATGCATTACACTACTCAGCTTAGCAACTAGGTTAAATCATTTCATATTGGATGTCACATTATGTGCTTAACATATTTGGTGAAAACAACAGTGAGTTAATCTTTACAGATGACAATCACTTGAATTTGGATCTTTGCTCTCTTGCAGCATGAGGTCAGGCCTCTGTGCGTCAGTTTGGGTTTAAACTTTAACATTTGTTTAAGGAAATGCAACAATGAACTTTGGTCTTACATTTTAAGTATACAGTTTTAAAGATTATTTAGTGGAACAGGTTGAACACGCTTGGTTTAAACTTTGTTTAATTTTTACAGACAATATAATTGTGTGCGTGTGTGTAAAAAATGTTTTTTGTTTGTTGTTGAGGCAATCCTGTGTTTTAAATTGGCCACTTAATTTTCTGTCTGGGTCTCAATATTTTGTCAGATGCCTTATTAGATATTGAAGTATTTATAAAATCAATTGCCCCTAAATTGGGGTTTCATCTTTGATTTTTAAGCCAGAATAAGATGCACAACAGCTCTGAGACTTGCTGTGGTAAATCATTAGCTCCAGCCTGATCTTCTAAACTGGTGTTTTGCTCCACTGCCCAATTTGAATGGCATCACCACTGGCGGCCACAGAGTTTGAATGTCCAAGGGCATTCTGTGGGACGTTCTGCTCTATGTACACTTGCATAATCCTGTTACTTAATTTTGACAAAGTTTATTTAAACAAATTGGCCGCGTTTTTGTCTTTCAGAGCCATTTACTTTGCTGCTTACTCAAAGTCAAAAGAGCTGTTCAATGGGGTGTTTGTGCCCAACAGTGGACTGGTGCATATGTCCTCTGCAGGCTCTGCAGGTGAGCATTCCCCCACCATGCACGCAAGCACACACACACACAGACTCAGTGACGCACGCAAACAGACAAACACACACACACGCAGATAGACAGACGCATACACACACAGACTCAGTGATGCAAGCAAACACACATAGACACAGCCGCACGCAGACACACACACACACGTTGTGATTAATTTAAACTAATGCTTTTATTTGTGTGTTTAGCGTTTGTGACCAACTCTCTGATGAACCCCATCTGGATGGTCAAGACCAGGATGCAGCTGGAGAAAAAGTGTGTACGCGCATTATTTTTCCTGCTTTCAGTGACTTTTAGTGGCCTATTGAGTGAACTTTGTCTGGTTAGGGTTAGAGTTCTTGAACTCTAGATTGATGCATTTATGATCTATGACGTTTCATCTGATAATCTGAAAAAGGGCTGGCAAAAGTGTGGAAACCAGTCAATTAAAACTAGTAATGCAGACAGAATAGTTCCTTATTACAATTACAATTTTTTTTTGTCCGAAAAGGGAATTTATAATACAGTGACTGTGGTATCAAAGTTGGTTTTGACTTTTTTGTTGAATCGAACAAGACTTTTTTTTAAATTATAAACAATACTAATCTGAATTTGTGGTGTTGTTAGTGTTTTCAGTCCACTTTAACTAAATTTAACAAATTAACTGTTGAATTTTGAACAGACTACACTTTTTATAGCCCATTGGTAATGCCATAAGAAATATAAGGGGTGTAGTGTTTGTAAGTTATTGTTACAAAATGTCTCCTATTATTTGACACAACTAAGTTCATTTTAGTGGACAGTTAAACATGTACTGGTCAATCAGATGACCTGATCTGGTCTAAACCGCCAGAGCCTCTGTTCTTGGTCTCTGCAGCGTTGAGCCTGAGCGTGTGACCTGCTCCATAAATACAGAGAGCTGACGTGTGTGTGCAGAGGAAGAGTCTATATTTGCCTTACAGAGTACAGAGCAATAGTATCATGTGAGGTGGCAGTGTCTGTGCACCTGTCCCAGAGCGAAATGCTACCGTGAGGATCATAGGGGTTCATTATGCAATCGTATTTATGTTTCTGTATGAAGATCCTCTGTGTAAATGTTGAGAGTTTAAACTGCTGACTCCCTTCTGACTCTGGGAGCTAATGAACAACAACAGGGTTTTTCACATTTTTTAGGCCAATTGAGACTGTGTGTGTCTCGCACCAGCTCAAAAAATGTTTTTAAATTCTAAAAAACGAAATCAAAAACAGGACAGCAGTTAGACGGTCCTACTCTGCAAATCTAATTTATGTTCCCTGTAGAATCAATCAAAACATAAATCGATCCTGAGTTATTTTTAAACTTGCTATGCTTAATGTCAGATCTCTATGTAAAACAAATCATTTTAATTAATTAATTTTTATTCACGTACTTATGATCCTTGATTTTCTGGCTTATGGCTGAAACATGGCTCGACCAAAATACAGGAAATTGCAGTTTCTAATAGAAGCAACACCACCCAATTTTAAATTCGAATCCGAAATACGGAAAACAAAAGGGGGGGAGGCATAGCTGCAGTTTTTAGAGAGCACTTTGTCTCCCCATAGAATGCCCCCTTGGAAATATTTCATCGTTAGAGTATATTTCTTTTTAAAATGGAACAAAAGCAATCTTTACTCTTTTCATTGTCCTCCCGTACAGGCCACCACAGTCATGTTGCGTGTTATTGACCATTTTACTGAACTACTTCCATCGTGTGCCAGTATTTTGATAGTTTAGTTTTACGGTGATTTTAATGTACATGTTGATAATGGTGATGTCAGAAATGCGAAAGGAGCATGGGCCTTCTGTATTTGAGACCTTTGGTTTCATTTCGCACAGTGAGTGGCCCCACCCACAGCAGGGGGCACACTCTTGACCTGCTAATTACAAAGGGGGTTAATGTATCAAATGTTAATGTAGTTGATGTTGCTTTGTCAGATCATTTCTGTGTATTTTTGACATGTGTTTTGCTAGCAAACCACCAGCTGAATTTACAAACTGTAGAAGAAGACACATCATGAAACACAGCTGAACTGTTTTCATGGGAATGCTACAATTTGAGAACACCTGCTTACTGTTGATGAATTGTATAACTCTGTCACCACCAGTGTTCTGACTGTTCTGGACTCCATTGCTCCTGTGACGGTTAAAATAGTTACCAGTAGAAAAAGCCCCATGGACTAAGGCCAGACTCGGTTAGGGCACAGAATCATGAGTGCCGGGCCGAAGGAAGTGGCGAAAGTCCAATTTACAGGGCGGATTATGAAATCTTTAACAGATGAGTTGGGGAATGTTAACCAGGGTTCTACGTAGAAACAAAGAGATAGTATTTTTCTGACATTATTGGAGGTTGCAGAAAAATAAAACAATTTCGTGTTTTTTTGTTTTCAAATCAGTTGGTAGGATTAACGAAACCCCCCTGTAAGTTGCCACCTAGAATTTTTCCTCTAAATCTAGGAGTAATGAGTTCGCACAGTTTTCTCGATGCAAAGTACAAGGAATCAAAAACACTATCACACTCCACATGCACGTATAACAATGCACAGCAGAGAAGCTTTTTGAGCTACTCACTTAGCACCTGGGAGATACTGAAACTGTCAAAAGATAATCATGATCTGAAGCTCCTCCACATGTGCCCTGGATATATGTGCCCTACTAAATTTCTGAAGTCCGTCCTGAGCAGTTTGTTACCTTCACTGACACAAATAGTAAACATGTTCGCTGTCGTCAGGAACATTTCATTATGGCCCCTAAAACAGCTAGTAATAAGACCTCTCCTAAAAAGAGCAGTCTGGATCCTGCGGCGGACTTCAAAATTATCGCCCCATATCGAATCTGCCATTATTGGAAACAATTTCTATTGAAAAAGTGGCCTCCAACAAAATTACTGAATTTTTAACAATGAATAATTCTTTTGATATGTTCCGCGTGGGTTAACGACCCCACCACAGCACTGAGACCGCTCTAGTGAAGGTACAAACGACATTCGACTTCCACACTGATGCAGGTAAAGTCACCAAGGTTTTGTCATGTTAGATCCTTAGTGACGCGTTCGACACTGTCGGACATGAGATCCTCATGCAGAGATGAGGACTGGGCTGGGGATGTCACTGGCACAGCCCTAGAACTGGTTTAGGTTTACCTGGGGATAGGAAAGTACTCTGTGGAGATTGGACGACTGCGTCCCAGAGATGTGCCCTGACCTGTGGGGTACCACAGGGGTCGTCCTGGACCTGCTCTATTTAATCTCTACATGCTGCCGTTTGGTCAGTTAATACAAAGAAACAAGTGTCCTACCACAATTACGCTGGACGACACTCAGATATATGTCGTCACTGACTGCAGGAGAACATGGACCACGGGATTTGCTACCTTCACTGTATCCAACAGATCAGTGAGGATGCAAAATAATTTCCTCAGCTAAATGCAGACAAAACCGAATCATTGTCTTTGGTCACCAGAAACAAAGGGAGGGCGTCATTTGTCAACTTCAGTCTCTCCTCCTACTTCCTTCAGACCAAGGTCAGAAAATTTGGGGGTAATACTGGACTCAGACCTAAATTTCAATAGCCACATAAAATCAATAACATCAACAGCTTTTTACCATCTGAAGAACATTGCCAAAGTTAGAAATATAGTGTCCAGGGCAGACTTGGAGATTCTTGTCCTTGCATTTTGTCTCCAGCAGGCTAGGATACTGCAATGGCCTGCTTACAGGTCTGTCCAAAACAGACCTGTAAGCAGCTGCAGTACCATCCAAAATGCAGCAGCTAGAGTCCTGACAGGAACCCAGGAAAGTATGACCATATTAGTTCGGTCCTCAGGTCTCTGCACTGGCTTCCTGTGGCTCAAAGAATAGATTTTAAAACGGCTCTGCTTGTGTACAAGTCTCTCCATAGGCCTTGCACCAGAAATTACATTAGTGACACATGTTGGTGTCATATGAACCGGGCCCGGACTCTGAGGAGCACAGGGACTGGCCTCTCTGTGGTGCCCAGAGTGAGAACCAAACATGGGGGAGGCTGCGTTTCAGATCCATGCAGCTAAGATCTGGAACAATCTCCCTGAAAAATGTGAGGGAGGCGTCTACTCTGTCAATGTTCAAATCCCAGGTTAAAGACTGTTCTGTTTGCCTGTGCAATATAACTGAAGGATGTTATCTCCATTTTTAATGCACTGCTGTCACTTTTATTTATTTTTTTAAATTTCTTGTGTAATTTTGAAAGTTTTAATGGTGTTATTCTTTTGTTGTGATTTTAATGTTTTAATTGTGTTTAATCTTTTGTGTGATTTTAATGTTTTAATTGTGATTCTGGTGTTTGTTTTATGTGATGATTTGTGATGTAGGACTCGTGAAGCGCTTTGTGTTGCCCTGTGTATTGAAAAGGACGCTCAACAAATAAACTATGATTGATTGATTGATATTAATAAATGCACGTATTTATCAATTGAGGGGCTAGACTGCAAAAGGTCAACACGCCACCTGCGAACTAGTGAGTGTTGCCCGGTGATCATGATGTTGTCACCCTGCGGTGCCTTTGTGATCGGAAACCGTGGACAATAAACGTTGTAAACGGACTATTTTGATTGTTCGAGTCATTTAAGAGGCAACACGAATCTTGGGTGTTTCTGCTCGGTTGCGGATCGCATTGGGAACGACGCTGTTGTGGAAAAGGCAGGTTGGGAGTTTACGCTGATGCAGGCCAGAGCGCATGATGAGACTGAGCTGTTACCTGTACCGTTACGGTAAAAAACATTTACACATTATGTCTACTACCAAGTCGGAAGATGTCGGAGAGTTGAGGAGAATGCAATGGGACGGATGAGGAAAATCTATTGACTTTGTCTGCTGCCGGATTTATATGATCTTTGTTCAATCGTGGGGCATATGTGAGTGAAGAGGACAAGACCTTACCTCGTGCAATGAGGGACTATCATACAGATATCTGGAAGGAGAAGATGTTGTCTCGCGTCGAGGATGAAGGTATTATCGTTTGTCATGATCATAGTTAACTGACCGCATTGATGAATTAAAACGTGTACCCTCAGCTACTCCTGCCTGCGGCCAGCTTATCCCTCTGCTGGATACAGCAGGTACATTAGCATCATCATACCCAAAGTGCACTGCTGCACCACTAATTCAGGTGCCGTTTCCAATTGTGACTATGACTCCATTTAATGCCAACCCACCATTTGTGCACCAAATTGTACAGAAAGAAACTAACGATAATGGGACAGATTGGTGAACCACATCAAA